AAACCCACAAGTATTTTTAAGGTCCTGTCCTTTTACATACAGCACTGCTAGTTTCCTTTGAGTTTGGAGGGTTAGGTGCCCCAGAAGAGAAAAGATGTAAAAACCTGGCGATTGTCCTGACATCTACTGGCAGGTGAAAGGGAAGCATCTGGGATGAAGGCCATTGCCTAACTGTTCTCATTCTGTAGTTCCAGAGTCACTCAAGCACATTCCCATTAGCTTCCCTGGTCATTTGCCCAAGCAAAAAATAAATAAATTTTGAAGTCCCTTTCTATGATTTATTCTGAATTTGAACTGTGGTTCAAGAAAACTAAGAAAAGAATATTTTGTTTAATCTTGAAAAACAGAAGATATAGACACAAACGTTTTCTTTTCAGCACTGATTTGTGTTGAGGGGGAAATATTTAAGCACATTATTAGTTATAATGTGCCAATGAATCACATTAAAGCATTAAGCAATGTTCTATATTGCAGCAGGTGTGAGTTTAGCAGTTAACCTTGGTTAAGTGACCTAAAATTAAACTGCCCAGAAAAATATATTCATACCGTTGGATTGACTTTTCCTAATAAAATTTGTTCCTAATCTAATTAACCCCAATTTAGAATTGCCACTTTTAATTCACAAAAAGGAGAGATGAATGCAATGCACCAAGCAGATAGGTTAGGGAACTCCCTTTCATTCTAAAAATGAAAGCCCATGATGAGCAAAGACATTATGGTTTTATTCCAGACATCAAAGTGAGCACAGACCTGGAAGACATCACTTTTGTATCAATGGCCAAGACTAAAGAGTTAGTGGATATGTTCTGATTTATATTCATGATGTTCTGTCTCCTGATGGTTGCCCCAAATAACTAGATCATATCTTCCCATAGTCTTCCAAATAACTTGGAAGAACGGTGATCACTGTACTGCCAGTAATCAAATGTTCTTGATGTGGGTTTCATACAGCATCCGAATCATGCTCTACCACTGAGCTATGGCCCTTCCTCATACCTGGGACTTGGCAAAACAATTATGGAATTGTCTATTGGTTGCTAGCTAGCAAAGAAGGCTGGCTATAGCTTTGATTCCACTTACAAGTTTCTGGGACAGAAAACTCATTAAATTGTACAACTGAAATCAACACATTTATTTATAACTTGATAAAGTATCAAATATTCCATCTATTCCAATAATCATTCTGAAAAGCTTGACATTCTTGCTGCATGTATATAGGAATCTCTTTCCAAATATTTTGTTTCTTTTTTTTTTAATGATATTTATTAAAATTTCAGAAAAAAGAGTTACATAAAAAACAAGAAAAGCAAAAGCATAGACAGAAATAAAAATACAAGAAAAATACAAAATACAAAATACAGAATAAAAGAATAAAAAACACTTAAAAAAAGATCAATCTTTCCAAGCCTTACATTCATATCCTTGTTTCCTGACCTCCTCATACCTCCCTCTTTTGTATTCCAATTCAATTTGTTAGTCCAACAATTCCTTTCCCTCCTTTTAATCCTAATCCTCAATCTTGATATATTGTAACATTAGATTTTTACAAATTAAAAACCAATTTTTCCATATTCTTTTGTACCTATACAGCTAGAAACCACTTAACTTCAATCCAACATCATTCTAACATTCATTTATTTTGCAATATTTCTGTAAGTAGTCTTTAAATTTCTTCCAATCTTCTTCCACCGACTCTTCTCCCTGGTCACGGATTCTGCCAGTCATTTCTGCCAATTCCATATAGTCCATTAGTTTCATCTGCCATTCCTCCAGTGTGGGTAAATCTTGTGTCTTCCAATGTTTAGCGATGAGTATTCTTGCTGCTGTTGTAGCATACATAAAGAAAGTTCTGTCCTTCTTTAACACCGATTGGTCGACTATGCCCAGGAGAAAGGCGTCTGGTTTCATCAAGAAGGTATATTTAAATACCTTTTTTAATTCATTATAAATCATCTCCCAGAAAACCTTAATCCTTGGGCATGTCCACCAAAGGTGAAAGAATGTACCTTCAGTTTCTTTACATTTCCAACATTTGTTATCGGGCAAATGATAGATTTTTGCAAGCTTGACTGGGGTTATGTACCACCTGTATATCATTTTCATAATATTCTCTCTTAGGGCATTACATGCCGTAAACTTCATACCTGTGCTCCATAACTGTTCCCAGTCAGCAAACATAATATTATGTCCAACATCTTGTGCCCATTTAATCATAGCAGATTTCACCGTTTCATCCTGAGTATTCCATTTCAGCAGCAAGTTATACATTCTTGACAAATTCTTAGTTTTGGGTTCTAAGAGTTCTGTTTCTAATTTTGATTTTTCCACCTGGAAGCCAATTTTCTTGTCCAACTTGTATGCCTCCATTATCTGATAATAATGAAGCCAGTCTCGCACTTTATTTTTTAGTTTTTCAAAACTCTGCAATTTCAATCTATCTCCATCTTGTTCTAAAATTTCCCAATATTTTGGCCATTTAACCTCCATATTGAGCTTTTTCAAGGCTTTCGCTTCCATCGGTGACAGCCACCTTGGGGTTTTATTTTCCAATAAGTCCTTATATCTTATCCAAACATTAAACAAAGCTTTCCTGACAATATGATTTTTAAATGCTTTATGTGCTTTGACCTTATCATACCACAGATATGCATGCCATCCAAATACATTGTTAAAACCTTCTAGATCCAAAATGTCAGTGTTTTCAAGAAGCAGCCATTCTTTCAACCAGCAGAAAGCTGCTGATTCATAATAAAGTTTAAGGTCTGGCAGGGCAAATCCCCCTCTTTCCTTTGCATCTGTTAGTATTTTAAATTTTATTCTGGGCTTCTTGCCCTGCCAGACAAATCTAGAAATATCTCTCTGCCACTTCTTGAAACAGTCCATTTTGTCCACAATTTGCAATGTTTGAAACAAAAACAACATTCTAGGCAATACATTCATTTTTACTGCAGCAATACGGCCCAGCAGTGAAAGCTTCAAATTTGACCAAATTTCTAAATCTTTTTTCACTTCAGGCCAACATTTTTCATAGTTATCTTTAAATAAATTCCCATTTTTTGCTGTCATGTTAATCCCCAGGTATTTAACTTTCTTAACCACTGTTAAACCTGTCACATTCTGAAACCTCTCTCTCTCCATTGGTGTTAGATTTTTCTCTAAAATCTTAGTTTTTAACTTATTCAATTTAAATCCTGCAACCTGACCAAATTCTTGAATCAGTTCTAAAATCCTTTTGGTACTAGATTCTGGCTCCTGTAACGTCAATACTAAATCATCTGCAAATGCTCTCACCAAATATTTTGTTTCATTGCTTTGTTACTGGTTGATGAAAGGAATCATTTTAAAATTGAATGGCTAATGTAATGATACATTTCAGCCAACATAATATTGGTGCCCAAATTTAAAATAAAAAAAATTGGTTTAAAACATTCTTCCAGCTTCAGAAGCAAAGGATCATATTTTTAGAAAGTATGAAATTATTCCTTTCAGTATTTTCCATGCTCTCATCTCTAAACACAACATGTACCAAAAGAGGAACCTCTCCAAATTTACACTATGCATGAACCTTAAATAAATCTTTTTGGACTTTTATAAGATCATGACCTGGCTAAACTAAATAAAAATATATCTAAAAACAAGCAATCAGTGCTGGAGATACAAAACTTCAAATGCAAAATATATTTCACAAACTGAGCTAGCTAAGCCAAGAGGGTCAAGCCCTTCAGACAAATTAATACGCTTTTGTCCTTATTTGAACCAGTGTTACTACATGAATTCCTTATTACAGACAACCACTATGTGGTTGTTGGGTGGCCATTTTGTGAAAGGCCCTACAACACCATAACAGTAAATATAAACACAGCCTTTGACATATTTTACAGGGTCAATTGTTATATTGTCAGAGGGCAAGTTCTAATCAGTACAATTATAAAGTGGTGTAAAAGAGCTGAGCCCTCAGCTGTTCTTTCTGTGAGAGGAGAAAGTATTCATTTGGGAAGGCAAATAATCCTCAAAAAAATCCTCCTTTTATTTTTCAAGGCACCTCCATTGGTCTTGCTCCCTCTCTGTTTTTTGCTCATTTGTCTAGCCTTCCACTTTCCAGGGATAGCTCAGTTGGTAGAATATGCGACACTTAATCTCAGGGTTGTGGGTACGAGCCCCATGTTGGAAAAAAGATTCCTGCATTGCAAAAGTTGGACTTGGTGAACTCTGTGGTCTCTTCCAACTAGTCAATTTTATGATTCCTGCCCGCCTGTCTCTTCTCTTCCCCTCTGTTACTAAAAGTTTGGGGAGGTTGTGAGAGCTGGCTTCTTGGTGGTGGCAGGGAGTTTAAAATAAACCCTGGTCTGGAGAGATTCAACACATGCATATTCATCACTCACTATCTAATTTCTTGAAGTCTTAGCTGAAGAGTGGCAGCTGAAGAGTGTGCTAACAGCCTCCACTGTTATTGTGGTACACAACTTATGTGAATGGTGGCCTGTTTCTCACACACAGGAGGCATCACTTGATCCTGTAGTCAGTGAGTGATGAACATGAATGTGGTTAACACTTTACTCCAGGGATTTCCGTATGTTATGAGTCCCTTTGATTCTCTTCACCCTTTCTCCCTCTGTGCATTTTGCCATGCTTCTTTGTATCCTTGAACATGCTTCTCATTATTTTTCAAAAGGCCCTTCATTCTCAAGCCCTCTTAATTTAAACCCAGCTTTTGCGCAAAACATTTCATAGGCAGCTGTATTATATTGAATCATAGAAACATAGAATTCTAGTGTTGGAAGGGACCAGAAGGATCATCTAGTCCAGGGGTAGGCAACCTAAGGCCCAGGGGCCGGATGTGGCCCAATCCCCTTCTCAATCCGGCCTTATTTGTGGGGCATAGGAATTTGTTCATTTCCCCCAAAAAAATATAGTCCAGCCCACCACATGGTCTGAGGGACAGTGGACCAGCCCACAGCTGAAAAAGGTTGCTGACCCCTGATTAGTCCAATCCCCTGCAATGCAGGAAGCTTTTGTGGGGCTCGAACCCACGACTTTGAGATTAAGAGTCTCATGCTCTACAAACTGAGCTCTCCCAGCACAAATGAGTTAAATCCAATCCAGTCTGTCTGTAGTGGCAGCAATTCATATCTGAGACAAAGGGTGCTTCTGAGGCATCTGATCAAAATCTGCTTTGAGCTTAAAAAATTATATTTGTAAATATATTTTTCTCTCATGTCAGGGAGAGACCAGCTGAATACTCTGGCAGCTGTTCAAGGGCCCCACTGCTATAAATAGCAGTATTTCAGGGTTGTAAAAAGTATTTCAGGGTTGTAAAAGGAAATTAGAGCCAGAGAGCAAAAGGTCACACTGACCAGAATACAATCAAGCTGCAAAAACACAATTAAGAGCTGGTAAATAGTGAAATTTATTGTTTAACAGAAAACTCGAGCCATAAGGTTAAAGGTTAAATGGAAGAGGTCGCCATAGAAACAGCTGCTGGTTAGGGAAAAAGGCTTCTCTCCAAACTGTTTTGAAGCTTCAGAGAATTTATAGAACTAAGAGAACTTAGCTTTTACTAAATTCCTTTAATTTGAAAAGGCCTTTCCTTCTAAAAATCTATCTATGTTATGTATGAAATATATTGGCTTAAATGTGATTATGCAAAGGATTTAGAAAGTAAGAAATGTTAGATTCTTATGTTAGATTCCTATTATGGTGGGTGAGAAGGTGAACTCAAGATCTCTTTAAGATAAAAAAATTAGAAACCATGCACCATCTGCTTTAGCCATCTGGTTTGCGGTGAATAGGGCAACAGGGGCCAAAGGTTATCTGGTAATTGAGGTGCCTGGTCGAGGTAAATGTAAGATATATGGCTACTTGTCTGCCATTTATGGATACAAGGAAATATAGCTTGTGTCTCCCATAAAAGGAAATAGGAAATGGGTGTATCTTTTATGATTGGTTCTAGCAAACAACCAATAGGAATTTCAACCAGGCCGATTGGACAGAGGCAGCCAAAGGAGGAGCAAGGGGGCTGGGCTGAGGAAATATAAGTGCTGGCCATCAGGGCTGGAGTAGGCAGAGCTTTGGTATCCATATACCACTGTGTCTCTCATTTATTTGTCTGACAAATAAATTATTATTTTAATTTCTCTATTGCTGCGTTGAATATTTCATTCCAGCTAAGCGTTAACCACAAGCAGGGTGCTACATTTTCACCTGCAACTTAATATTGCAAGCAGGGTGTAAGCAATAAGTTTGTGTGTGTGTGTGTGTGTGTGTGTGTGTGTGTGTGTGTGTGTATTGGAGGGGGTGGGAATATGGGCCGTCGTTTTGATGCCAATTACATCATGCTGTGAAAAATGTGCATGCATTAGAAGCACTGATCTCATCAATGAACATCTAATGAAAGCACCTAAAAACTACAATACATTTCTGGCCCCATTAAACTCAATAGGAAAAATTCCAGTTGGCTTTAAGATAAGGTTTCATGTACAGTATGCAGGTTCCAAGTCTTTGTAAAGACTTTTTTTAATGGTGTTCGAGTAAAAGAGGAAATTCTTCACATGCCTGCCGTTGTTGTGTATAATGCAAGAAAAACATTGTTTTTCGCTCTGAACCAGAAGTTCAAGCATGCATATAAATAGCCAGAGCTAGTTATTGTGTGTACAATATTAACTGCCAAGGAAACAGCATTCTTTCAAATCCTTCCGCTGATTTTATCATATAACTTTTTTCCCTCGCTTTTAGATAGAAAGTCTCTAAAATCTCACAATTCGTTACATTTTATCAATCCCCCCCCCACCCGTTTTTTAATCCTTCAGCATGGGTTTCATTTCGATCACTTAAACAAAAAAGCAGAACACTTAAGCAACTTCATAACATTGTCTAAGCAGTGTTGCTTAGAATTGGGGAACTAGGATGTGAGTGTATGCAAAGTTAATTATATGTCACAATTTTAGTTGCCTTTATTAGTTTATGGAAATTAATATGGCATAATTTTTTTTAAAAAAAATCTTGCATAAGGCCCTATGTTATTTTATTCCATTGATTGAACAATTCCTTGGGCCTTTGGTTGTACTTTTATAATTCAACAGCAGATCTCTTCTCTTCCCCTTAGGGTGTCCCTGCTACATATATCATACATCAACTTTTCCTAATCTAGGTGGCTGGGGAAAGAGAGAGAAAATCTCTTCATTTTTTTATACAACATCCAGAGCAAGCAAAGGCACGAAGGTTGCAAACTCAGTTTTCCAAAGATCCCCCTTCCTTCAGAGAAGCTTCAAAGAAGCAAAACCCATCAAAACGCCAATGGTGGTATTGCAAGTCCATCTGTCCAATCCAATTAACTTTTCAGCCACATTTTTTACCAACAGGAGGCCCAAATTAAAAAATGTATCCAGTCTTTCATTTTTTTAAGCCAGGAAGATAAAATGAAGCCAGCTGTTGAAACTTGGAAGCTCTGTACTGTATGCAGCAATTTCTTCAAAGATTAAGTGCATGCAGAAATTCTGCTGGGCTTCATAATTTATCCATTTTAGATATAGGGCAAAGGCACACAGACCATTTTCTGGTTAGGTGCTGGATTATGTAGGTTAATCCAGGACAGTAATGATGATGCCTGATTCTCAGCAGCTTCTCAGTAGCTTATTAAAAAAAAAAAAACTTTGTTCAGTCCTCATCAGTGGCTTGGAATATCACAACCCCACAAGTCTTCCAGCTAGCATAAAGAAGCAGATTGCACCGGCTACCAATTAGTTTCCGGTCCCAATTCAAAGTGCTGTTTTTGACCTATAAAGCCTTAAGCGGCTCAGGACCGCAACACCTCAAGGACCGCCTCTTTCCATATGAACCTACCTAGACCCTGAGATCATCTTCTGAGGCCCTTCTTCATGTGCCTCCCCCTCGAGGGGTCCGGAGGGTGGCAACACGAGAACGGGCCTTCTTTGCAGTGGTTCCCCACCTGTGGAATGCTCTCCCCAGGGAAATACGTCTGGCGCCTTCATTATACATCCTATGACCTTTTAAAATGTGGTGTTTTGAGGGGGGCTATTGGGTTGTTGTTTTTATTTTTATTATGTATTTTGTGGTGTTATATCCTGATTTTATTCTGTGAACCGCCTTGAGGCCCCCAGGTATAGGGCGGTATATAAATTCAATAAATAAATAAACAGATCTTGTGATGTTCCCCCTCTGCTCTGTGAGACTGAAATGGTTAGAAACACATGAATTCTGAGTGATCGTGGTTTGGTGCCTGTGGAACAGCAGTGGAAAGACCTCTGGTTGGTACAAACCTCCAGCTCAATCCATGCCAAATTAGTCACAACTAATCTGCTGTTAAAATAATGAAATGAACCTTATTTGTGACCATTTTAAGACTGATTTAAATTAGCAGCATGAGTAATTATTCCTGGATAGTACTCCACAAACTTTCTCACAACTTGATTGTAATTCTATATTTCTCCCCATGCTTGTCTCCTCCTGCTGTGTGAGCGTCTCCAGACTGTCAATTAAAAACAAAATAATCAAAAAGCTATTGTCCTGGACCCAGGCAGTGACTTTCCTTAAGGTAGCACTCCTGTGGGAGAGACCACATTTTCATTGCATTCAAAGACTGCAACATATAATCCTGGCACAGTATATTTATTGTTCTCTTCCTCCTTATAATTCTATAGCATTGCCAAGCTCAGACTCTGGAAGTCGCTCTGCAACTCAGGAGGATGACAACAAATCATGCCTCTTAATGAAAGGTTGATTTGGGACCCATTGCCTTCCAATTGTCACTGATTTTCTTAGGATGAAAGGGCATTTAAAAAAACAAGCAGCAGCTTGCATGCAGACCTACAAGTCCAAATGGCCTTCTTGAAATAATTATTGCTGCCCTGTGTTAAATGATGCATTTAAATTCCCATTCAGCTACTTGACAGGAGGGAGTCGTCAAAATAAGTTTCACCTAACAGGACGCCCCTGTTCAGAAGTCAGCCCAGTGTAAAACAACATTATTATGGGATGTTTTCCACCTGAGTTCTGGCATTCATCTCTTAGGTCCATATTGTATTTGTCAAGTCACTGGAAATCTATGCTATTTGGCGTCTCAGGCTCTTGAAATTGCAACTGAGGGATCAGCCACTTTTTCAACTTGTACTGTTGTTGCTTTAAAGAAAAGTTTACAAACCACAGATCAGGTATAATGGGTCTCAAAGCAGAAATTATTATTTATTAAGGAATTAGAAGATTTTGGTTTCAAGGTGCTTTCAAATGGATGTTTATTGTGGGCAGGGCCAGGTCAGGCCATTTTGGCACCTGAGGCGGACCCCAAAATGGTGTCCCCTTTCCCTCCAGAGAAGACCTGGTGAGGGGAAATCTACCTCAGAAACAAGGGGAAAGGAAGATCTACATCAGGACCTGCTGCTCCCGTAGACACTGCAGCCTGGGGTGGTCGCCCTACCTTGACTCATGGGTTGGCCAGCCCTGATTGTGGGATCAAAGCTGCTCATGCATGCAGGTTTGGTTTTTTTGTTATATCCACACAACATTGAAACCTGTTTCCATCTGCCTGCTTTCCAATATGATCTGTGCACCATATTAGGCCCTCATCTGGCAGTACATTAAAATTACTTGCATTGCTGAAAATTCATTATTTTATTCCATTAAAAAAACAACAAAAAAACTTAAAAGCAAATGCTGGAGAGTCAGCATGGTGTAGTGGTTAAGAGTGGTAGACTCGTAATCTGGTGAACCCGGTTCGTATCCCTGCTCCTCCACATGCAGCTGCTGGGTGAACTTGGGCTAGTCCCACTTCTCTGAGGTCTCTCAGCCCCACTCACCTCACAGAGTATTTGTTGTGGGGGAGGAAGGGAAAGGAGAATGTTAGCCGCTTTGAGACTCCTTCGGGTAGTGATAAAGCGGGATATCAAATCCAAACTCTACTTCTTCTTCTTCTTCTTCTTCTTCTTCTTCGGTGCCTACTTTTTCTGATTCCTCCCACTATTCTGTCCATTTCTTCACCGTGTTTTCTAGACCTTAAATTGTCCACAAAGCAAATTGCAGAGCCGTTTCCTGGTAACAAAAAGAAGCATTTCACACCATCATTTATTGCTATAAATGCATCGCCCCAAGGATGAGTTTTGTAAAAGGGATTTGGATGCCACAACTATGGCTCGCAAAATATGTGGATCCCAAATTCGGAACAGCATCCAGTATTTCCAGTTCTGCCATCCCTTCCATGAAAATAAAAAACACTAATTACAGGAGAGCACAACTCAGCTAAGGTATCATATTTTCTGGAGGGTTTTATTGACCAATGTGACTGTTGCATCCTTCAGGTGTAACATATATGCTTCTATAATTTTTTCTGACTTTTATGTGTTAATATGCTCAGTGTAAACCCCAGATGATAAATTTTAAAAGCCTTATTAAAATAAATAATCTAGCAGGTAGTGGGATTTTAATGCAAGTTTAAATCATTGTTTTATAGTTTGTTCTGTGCCCTCTAGCAATCTGCCTTGGTGATATATGTGTGCATTCCTGAAACATGCCACTGACCCAAATGGTTTCTCTGCTATAAACCTTGCCTATCTTTCATCAAAACGAGGAAACTCTAACTGGCATAATTCAGTTTGTGCTCAAGGGACATACAGTACTGGACATCTCGAATGCCTGGCTAATCAATTCACATACAATCTCTCACTTGACAGTGATGGAAAACTAACCTAATCCGGCTTGTTTTTACAAACTTAACAATGGCCAGATTTTCTCCTAAAAATATGCCTGTAAGCATAAGCATTATCACTTAAATAACAAGTTGTTATTGATGACTTTTGACATGTAGATAACACAATTCCATTATATCATTCAGCTATATTTTATGGCTGAAGCATAACCAGCATGTGATCCCGCCTGATCTTTAAACATATGCCTGTGATACCTCAGTAATTAGAATTTAAGACTTATTCAAGCCCTACCCATGGTTAACACCAACATATAAGCAGGAAACAGAGCTATATCAAGTAGCCCCACCAGAGAATGCAGATTACCAAAGGGCTTCCACACAATCTGGAACCCCAATCACTCAGGACTCCTGATTGCTTGGATGCCTGTACAGTGGTGCCTCGCAAGACGAAATTAATTCGTTTCGCGAGTTTTTTCGTCTTGCGAAGCACGAAATCCCATAGGAATGCATTGAAATCCAATTAATGCGTTCCTATGGTCAAAAAAAGTCCAAACAAAGCCAAATTTGGTACAACAAGAGTTTATTAAGTGCTCTTTAAAATCACACATACTGTAAAGAGCATTTCAAAAATTGAAGGAACAATAAATTAAGTTTCTAAACATGACAGGGAAAACATTTAAAAATCAACAAAGTGTACATTACATTTTCTAAGACTCTGGGGGACCACTCAAAGAAGGTTCCTCTTCCACTCTTTGCTTCTTGCTGAAGAACCTGTCCATGGTCTGCTGCTTCATCCGCCTTTTCAGCACCTCCCTGAAAGGCGAAATGACCGTCGTATCAAAAGTGTTCGCAAGGTCATGTGCCACGTGCTTGTTAGGGTGGTTCCGCTCTGCAAAAGCCTGCACATCCTTCCACTTCATGCAAATGTCCCTCAGTTCTTTAGAGGACAGCCGTTCCTCAGTTGCTTCCTCCTCTTCCAGCGAGGCCTGCTCCTGCGCAGCCTCTGCCTGCAATTCGACCAGCTCCTGGGTGGTCAGCTCGTGGTCATGCTCCTCCACCAGCTCGCTGACGTCCTCCTCTGTGACCTCCAGGCCCATGGTCCTCCCCAAGGCAACAATGTCCTGCACCACTGTTGACTCTGGTGCATCAGAGTCACTTGGTGCCACACAGTCCGGCCATAGGCTGCACCAAGCACAATTCAAATTTCTCTGGCTGATCCCTTTCTAGGCCGTGGTGATCATCTTCAAGCAGGTGACGATGTCGAAGTGGTCCTTCCAGAATTCCCGCAGGGTGATGGTGGTGCAATCAGTCACCTCGAAGCATCGCCTGAAAAGCTCCTTGGTGTAGAGTTTTTTGAAATTGGCGATGACCTGCTGATCCATCGGCTGGAGCAGTGGCATGGTGTTAGGCGGCAGGAACATGATGTTGATGAAGCTGAACTCCTCCAACAAGTCCTCCTCAAGGCCTTTAGGATGAGCAGGAGCATTGTCCATCAGAAGCAAAGCCTTCAGCGGCAGGTCGTTGTCCAGCAGGTACTGTTTGACAGCAGGGCCAAAAGCAAGATTGACCCAGTCCACAAACAGCACACGTGTGACCCAAGCCTTACTGTTGGATCGCCACATGACACTCAGCTGCTCCTTGTCGACCTTGTGTTTCTTGAAGGCCCGTGGGTTCTCCGAGTGGTATACCAGCAGGGGCTTGATCTTCAGGTCGCCGCTTGCGTTGGCACAGAAGAGCAGGGTCAGACGGTCCTTCATGGGCTTGTGGTCAGGCAACTTGGCCTCCTCCTGAGTGATGAAAGTCCTTTTGGGCATCCTCTTCCAAAACAGCCCAGTCTCGTCGCAGTTGAAGACCTGCTGTGGAACGTAGCCCTCCGTCTTCACAGCCTCCAGGAACTCCAATGCAAAGTCTTCAGCCGCAGGAACATCAGAACTGGCAGCCTCTCCATGCCTGACCACGCTGTGGATTCCAGATCTTGTCTTGAACCGGTCAAACCAGCCTCTGCTTGCCTTGAAGACTTCTGGCTCGCCTGAGGTTCCTGGCTGTTCCCAGACGAGGTCTGTGTGCAAGGCCTTGGCCTTCTCACAAATCACGGCCTCAGTCACTGTGTCCCCTGCACGCTGCTTCTCTTCTAACCAGATGAGCAGCAACTTCTCCACCTCCTCCAGAACAGCTGGGCGGTTCTTCACGATCCTGGTGACTCCCTTGGCTGCATCAGTCGCAAGGATCTTCTCCTCATCTTCAGGATGGTGCCGATGGGTTCCTGCCGTACTCCCTGGCGAGGTCTGTCACACGCATTCCACCGTCGTGCTTCCGGATGATCTCCTTCTTCATTTCCAGCGTCACCTTCTCCTTCTTCCTCTCGCCGGCCTCTGCAGCAGCAGTCTTCTTGGGTCCCATGGCAGCACAGCTCCTAGCTTCGTAAACTCAGAAAGAAAAAATCAGTGCTTCACACCCAAAAAATTCAAAAGCACCCAGCCACCCACCACACAGGAACTCAAACCCAGAACCAAGTCCTTGAATTCCAAACACCCAACCCAAAATCCAAAAACCCCCAAAAAAAGTTTTAAAAGTTTAACTTACGAAATGGCTGCAAATCACCAAAGTCTTCAAAATCCTCAAATGGCTGCAAAGAAGTTTTGGGAAAGCTTTAAAAATCACCAAAGTCTTCAAAAACCTCAACTGTCCCCCAGCCACCCACCCACCACACAGAAATTGCAAACCCCTCCCCAACTGTTGCAAACCCCTCCCCAACTGTTGCAAACCCCTCCCCAACTGTTCCCCCAGCCACCCACCACACAGAAATTCAAACTCAGAAATTTTTTTTGAAAAAAAACAAGATGGCCCAATGGTCACAGAAAATCATAAAAATTCAAAAAAAAACCACACAAGCTCCCAGATTCTTGCAAACCCCTCCTCAACTGTTCCCCCAGCCACCCACCACACAGAAATTCAAACCCAGAATTTTTTTTAAAAAAAACCAGCAGAGTGCCCCAATGGTCACAGAAAATCATAAAAATTCAAAAAAAACCACACAAGCTCCCAGATTCTTGCAAACCCCTCCTCAACTGTTCCCCCAGCCACCCACCACACAGAAATTCAAACCCAGAATTTTTTAAAAAAAAACCAGCAGAGTGCCCCAATGGTTACAAAAAATCATAAAAATGCAGGAAAAACCCACACAAGCTCCCAGATTCTTGCAAACCTCTCCCCAACACCACGTCCTTGAATTCCACACACCCCAACCCAAAATCCAAAAACCCCCAAAAAAGTTTTAAAAGTTTAACTTACCAAACGGCTGCAAAAGAAGTTTTGGAAAAGCTTCAAAAATCAGCAAAGTCCTCAAAAACCTCAAAAAAGGCTACCACACTGCGTGCAATGTGTTGCTCCTCGAAGTCAAGTCGCAACTGCACCTCTTCAAGCAATGCACCCTGGGTATTAACGGTTTTACGAAAAAGGAAACAAACTTGCAAGGCGTTTTCGTCTTGCGAAGCAAGCCCATAGGGAAATTCGTCTTGCGAAGCAGCTCAAAAAATGGAAAACCCTTTCGTCTAGCGAGTTTTCCGTCTTGCGAGGCATTCGTCTTGCGGGGCACCACTGTACCTG